AGAGAGACTGGGCAAAAAGGAAAAGGCCTTTCTTTATGGCTAAGCTGGCTGCGATGTTTCTGTGGACTGGACACTTATTTTGGGGGCATTTTGAAGGAATTTGGCTGCTCTGCAGAATGGAGAAAACGTTGAGTACAACCCTTTGGGCTGTTGGAGAGATGTTTTAATCATCTCTGGGGAAAATTTAGTGAAGGGGTTGAAAAGCCGAGCTGGCCACATCCCACACTGCGTAGACCTCATGTGGCATTTGAGGTCTTTTATGTGTAATTGAGAGCCAGTCGAAAAAAGTTGGAGTCCAGTGGCACCTTGGATCAACAGGGTCTAATTCTGGGTATAAGCTTTCGTCTGCATGCACACTTCTTCAGATGCATGGAAGTTTCTCCCCAGAATGATTTTTTTAAAATAGAATGTTTTAATTGCATTTCATATTACAAAGCCTAAAGGGTCTGTGAGAAGGGGTATGCTATAACTAAAATACATAAAGATCAACATAGCTGTCTATCACTCCTGCAATAGTAATAAGAAAATAAAGTTTCAAGCTTCAATATCATGTCACTTAATTAGACTACAGTCACTTAATTAGACTACAATTAGACTACAGTCAGGAGGTTTATAATCCGTTTATCTTCTTGTGCTTGGAATTTGCTTTTAATGTCTTAGGTGCTGCTACTCCTTTCTCCGATTCAGAAGTTGTGCTGCTGGAGGTGCTTGAGGTGTTGCTTAATTCTCCATCACTGGATTCCCCTTCTTCTTCCTTAGCTGATTTGTCATCATTATTTGGACTTTGTTGCTGTTTCAGGAAGGTTTTGGCCTTTTGGACAGAGTCAATTTTTTCTTTCAATTGAAGTTGAACGCCAAACCCTCTGGAAAATCCCATCTGTAAGAAATTGATTTGCTTTGAAGGAAAACGGTTAAGTCTTTATATTGTCTTCTTGATTTCCGGATCTCAAATGGGATGTCAGGATTTTAATTTCTTCATCTTGGATTTTTAGACTTTTCCCCGATATGGCTCTAGTCTCAAAATATTCTGTCTTGTGGATCTCTTGGAGAATTTCACATATATTTTGCCAGGAAGTTTTGGGTTTTTTTAATAAAATCAGGATAAGTACGATAAGCCAAGTCTATGTCGTTTTGCAAGATCCATGATGGTTGCCAATGCTTTGCTCAAAATTATTTTTAAGTTCTCTCCCTTCTGTTCCACGACTCCTTGGAAGCATGAAACATACACTGATTTTTCCACTTAGAATTGTAGGAGTTGATTCTTGTCTGTCTTTCTTTCTTTCTCCACTTCTTCCTATTGTTGCCCAATATCTTTGGTTTTTGTTTCGACGTTCTTAATCTTTTTGTCTGATTTATCTGCTCTCTTTTCCATTTGAGTTAGCTGTTTTTGAACAGAGTCCAGCTTACTGTTGATGTTTGACATCTGCTCCAGCAGAGGGTGTAATGCCAAAGCTAGCATACTGGAAAAGTCTGCAGCAGTTTCTTGAGACTGGGAGGGGGACGTTGCTGTCATATTACCTGTAAGAGGTTTCTTTTCTGCCGGTATTCTCCTCCCTCTACCAGTCATTGTTTACACAAGAAGAAAGTTTTTATTTTTAAAGTCAAAGTTCTCTGATTTTAACACACAGGAATAAAATGCACCTTTCAGGCTCGGTTAAAGTCTTGTATGGTCAGTTTCGTTTTCCTTCTTTTGCTGTAGTGCTTATGACACGCTCAGTTTTTTGGG